GTGTTAGGCTTATAAGAAGTCTCATTACTCTACTGTCACTGTATAGCTTTATTATTTATTCCACGGCAGATGTTCTCTGTATAGTCACATTACGGCCTGATTTTAGGACACCAGATAGTTCTTTCTCTGTCTGTTGCTTTTAGAGTTTTCAGTGAAAGTACAGACACTATGATTACTTCTAATGGCTGGCGTTCAAAACAAATTTTTACCTGAGTTTTATATCTTACCATCCTAAACTTCATTTATCTTCAGCAGCTCAAAAACACAAACACTCACTATGCAATACTGAGTTGCCAGAGGCAAACAAGAGTATTTTAGGATGAACAGAATCCAGCTGAATCAAAGAGGCTATAAACAAGTACTCCTCAAGGTGGCAAATAAATCCAGGCTAGTATTGGTTTCAAACACCAATTATGAAAGAAGTTACACACTGAAATTGATGTAATGCCACTTGTGGGGAGGAGTCAAATGTCAAATAAAAAGGGACACAAGATCTCAAAAACAGGATGATCTATAGAAAAGTACTGCAGGAGTTAAAAAAAAGAAAGTTATATACTGCTCTAAAGGCATAACATAATGAGCTCGCATGACATATTCAAGACTAGAGGTCTGAGAACTTCACAATCACTGGAATATGATTTTGACTGAAACAAAATTCTGAACACGTCACTTAGGAAGAAAGCAAGACTTTGCTCTTAGGTCAACTGTACCATGTACTTGACTCTGGAATACTGTAGAGCTTTCAGATATATACTAGGAGTCAATTAAATAATGAGAAAGTTGATAAAACACCTAATAAAAGAGAAAGGAGTAAAATTACAGCCTGAGCAAGAGACTTAGCATTCCATTAATACACTTTAGGCCTTGATGTAGTAGGTTACTCCAATTTCATGCGAAAACTAAAATAAAATTGCGAGGACCATGAAATTCCTCCCACCAGTCTAAGAGGAAGGTCATTTCAGGGAAAGGCACTTCATTGCATGTTGGGTTGAGGAATGTTTAAAAAGCCTTGCTCATGCAAGTTGGCAATCCCATAATGTCCACCCCACAGCCACCAGAAGCTTAGTTTTAGAAGCTACATTCAGTTCTGTTCCTGTTAGTCAGGGTTTCTTTTATTGGTAGCACATGCCATAGTCCTGACTTTTCAGTAGAGGGGTGATTCTGTTTGGGTGAGCAAATTTGAATCCCCACGTGTGAAACAACTAAGAACAAGTATAATTTTCGACAAGTTGAGTTTATACAGAAGTAGTAAGACCTTTTGAAATCACTATGCAAATGTATAATTTAGAATGTATACAATACTTAAATCTGAATACCTAACATATAATACTTACTCTCCGCATTTACAAACTGATTTACTAAATTACAAAGGTTGGTAGGTGTTGAAGAAGATTAAACTTGTCAGGATCATAAATTTGTCTTATTAGGGTGAGTTTGAGAGAATGAAATTTACTACTTCTGTCATTATAGGTTGATATATCTAAAGAAATTTGATTAATTAAATGTATAAATGGAAGAATTCTGTCAAATTTATAAAAACAAAGAAAAATGACTTTTTAAAAAAATCAATGTATTTATAAATAAGATCTGTACATTGATTAAAAACAGACTTAAAGTAGAAATATGGCTCCAGATTAATATAAAATAAAACTTAAAAATAAAGCTCCAGATTTAGAACTTTAGGCACTAACTAATAAAGAAAAAGTAATTGTAATATTCCTTTCTAATAACCAAAATCTGCCCATGGGTAATAAAAGCCTACTGGTAAGAGTAAGAGCAAATCTGTGCTGAGCACAAGTCTCATGGAAGGTCTGTATTGAGTACCATGGAGAAGAGAGGGGCTCTGTCATGAGGAGCTCAGAATACTGGGTAGGAAACTAATGCATGATGCTAAAACGTCAGAAATGATTCAGACGTGTGCACTCTAGGACAGCTATTTTCCTGAAACACACATCATTTTTTACAATTATAATTGGTGGCATGGTGATGTGTCAGATGGTTGATAATTCAGGATATCTGATTTCCAGAAGAGTGATTCTGTTCTTCATAGAGAAGCAGATTCCCATCATCACATAAGCATATTAATTAATTCTGGGGCTACCTTAAGTATCAACATATTCTAATAGACTTGACTATGTCACCATTCAGAAGCCCTATTCAGTATATTATACAGGTGCAGTTGTTTTCCAAGAAGGATTTGTCCTTGAGTAGTTAGTTTGAATTTGAAATGACTATCTTTATACTAGATATGAACAATGAAACTAATGTTGGAAAACACATTTCATGCAACTCTACTCAAACGCAAATTATACAACAGATTACTTTTTAGGTAAGTCTTTAGTACTTCTAAAACTTTTACCAATTAGTTAATGTTTCTGTGATTAAAGTGGGCAATAAACGATTTTATACTAATCACTTTCCTTGATTCCAAGAAAGAAAGAAGTTTGAGAATAAAAACTGGAATTTTTTAAAATTACATTATTTCTAAAAAATTTTTTAACTTGTTTAAATTATTGAAAGATATCTTAAATCATGTATTTTCTTTTGATAATTTCTGAAATTTATCACTAGTAAGCATGTAATTAAAGTGGTAGGCTTTTCGTATGCTCAATATTTATGACTTTCAAATGAGTGCTTTCCCAGTTTTTAATTTTACTCCATTCTAACTTGTACTTTAATAGCAATTTAAATACTAGGGTTACTAAGTCTGTTTTAAAAATAATTTTAATACAGAGAAATCATGAGACAAAATAAATTGAGTTAAATAAAACTTGAAATTGTCTCCAAAGTTATACACACAACCCTAGAAAAAAATAAAAACTAATTTTAAGTGTCAAATAAAATGACTACGTAAAGCACTTAGGAAAACACCCCCAAGGGTAAAAGGTGGCAAGAAATAGCCCAATGATTAAAGAGGATACAGAACATGACGAAAAACACATAAAATGTGCTTATAAAGAATAATTTGATACTAACATTTTAGTAATAATACAGCAAAAACATGTTTTCCTCCATATACCATTTGCAATGACATGGTCCTTATATTTTACATTCTTGGTCATTATCTCCTAACACCAGCAAAAAATGTTCGTGTCGTCAGTCTTGTACTTCTGAGAGAAATGGAGCAGGAAAAATAATGCAAAGATGCTATCTACTGCCATTAAAAAATCAAACTAAATATCAACTGCCTCAAATCTCTTATCAGGGATAAGGTAAGGCAGGTAAATAAGTAAATAAACACCAAAAAAAAAGCAACTAAAATTAATTTTGGCTACTGTAATACCAGTAGTCTGTGGTTTTTAACATGAAAAACTTCTTTGATGATTTCAAATTTGCTGCACTCATCAGATCAATGAAGTTAATACTATTGCCCCAGAGTCAATACTTAATATCACATAATACTTTTATGATAAAAATAACCATATGATAAAATTTTAAAGAATTATTAAAATGACTTACTTTCCTCTTTCTTGCTAATAATGGCAGGTAGGGTATAAATCTAAAAAAAAAGGATGTCAGTCAGTTACTTGCCGTTAATGGCCCAGCACAGATTACCCAAGGTGATGTTTATACACCAACACACAAAGGGAGTGTCTTGATTTCAAGGTTGTACAAATGCTGTGCTCACAGCGCCATCCGTCCACCCTGTCAGCCGATTTCCTTTGGTACATCCAGCCTGGCCTCCCACTGCTTTTCAACCCCTGCTCTCCTGCCCTGAGAAAGTTCTACCCCTTGCCATCTGATCTACATGTCTTATTCTCCTCCCCAATAGGATGAATAATATACCTTCTTCAGGAGGCATCTCATGATGGATTTCACCTGATTGCTCCTTCCTAAAATTATCTGCTTAGTGTTGCATTCTCAATGTGCACAGTCCTAACTTGTATATTGTTGGGCAAACTATCCCCTAAATTTGCTCTAGGTTAGGGCTTCTCAACTCTTTCTGGCGAACAGCCAAGGTTGTTATTATTATTTTTAATCTATCATTAACATTTTTGTAAAATATAATAAAACTGAAATAGAAAACAATAAAGAATAAATGCAGAGCCCCAATTTTTTATTAAATTTAACAGACTTAAAATGACTTCTTCAAATGGCTATACAATTTCCTAAAGGTTTAATCACAATTTCTGTGCTCCTCTTTTTGTGGCCTGGTAACACAGTTTGAGGGAGAGCCTCAAAGTCCAATGGCCACACACATTCTGTACAGCACTGTTGTCATATGGGTATTTCGCTCAAGACTGTTCACGGGTTCTTTGCCATTTAAAGGATGGTTCTCAAGAGACTGGATGGGGCCTCCTATTTATTCTGTGTGTGCTCACCCTTCTACCAATTTAGTAACAGCATTTATTAAGAAAACCACAGTGATGAATGATTCATCGTTTTTTTTTTTTTTTTGCATAGGATCCCTTAATATTTGCAAGTAAATTATCATACAAATATCAAAATAACTGAAAAATGGGGATATATATGGAGAGGAAAATGTCAAGCCACGGGCAGTTTTATCAAATTACACTTTTAAAAAATGGTCTAAACTAGAGGATCAGTTCTTACTCTGAACCTTGGTCATCACTCTGATCCCAACACAGGCCTTGCAAAGGCTGGACATACAATAATTATTAGCTGAATAAAATAATCAAATGAGTGTGGACAAATTAATAAGTATAACTAATTTTTCAAAAAGTCATTTTAGAGTTTTAAATCAGTTGTGGAAGTCCCCCTGAGAAATCAATCAGAAAGTTGGCATTCTGTGCCATGAGTGAGACAACATCAGGAAAGCAGTAAAAGCTCTACTCCTCCGACTTGCTGTTTTAATATTTTCAATTACACTAAAGACAAAAATTTTTACACTATGAAAAAAATTTCAGATGTACGTCGCAATTACTGGAACAATGAAACCTAAATAATAGAACGTGTCGTACTCTTACCGGTTCCTTCCCATCCATGGCTTCGAGCCAGAGTTTCCTATTAGCTTCAGAGAAGGCCTGTAATGTGATGATCCCGTGCCTATTAAAAACAAATATTTTATACATTCAATTTATTCCTACCATGTCTTTACACATTTACTATTTTTTAAATTCTTAGATAAAGTTTGAAGAAAAAAGTTAAGAGAAAAAAATAATGAAAAGAGAGAAAGAAAAATGTAAGTTTTTTTTTTTTTTATTTCAGGGTATTATGAGGGTAAAGGTACTTTTCAGAAAAATCACTGGACATGCACAAAAATGTTTTTAATTCTAACGATCCCAGGTAGTAAAATCATTAAGTGCCTTAGGTATAGGATTGTCTGAAGGAGACTGATTTCATTTCAAATGATCAAAAAGGATGACAAAGCTACATTCACCGAAATTCAAAGCCATCTCAAAATCCCACAATACGAGAACAATTAACAATCATCACATGACCCTGATGTGGTGCAATCTAGTCCCTAAAAACAATTATGATGAGTATGTAGCAATGTGGAAAGCCCCACACCATCACTACTGAGTAATTAAAAAGACACTAAATCCAAAGTGTTTCCTTATGCCATAATCACAATATTAAAATTAATTCATTTAAAAGCAGTTGTCTCCCATGTAGTCATTCTGAAATAGAAGTGTGTCTTGAAGACACACTTAAAAAAGGAAAGAAACAGTAGATGGAGGGAGGGGAAAAGGAAACTAATACAAGAAAGAAAATATATGAAATTAGAAACAGAGCAATTATTTAATAACTTAGTTAAACAGGAAATTACAGTGGTCTGTGAAGAGGAAGATAAAAAAGAAATTTCATTATAAATACTGTATGATTAAAAACCTGGAATGACTTAAACTGATAATGGCCTACATCTCTTCTGTAAATAAGCACATAGATCATTAGAATGAGAAGAAATGGAAAAATGTATAAAAAGATCAAGATAATCTGATGTTGGAGAATTCAGGCCAGTGTAACTATACCAACAATGAAACTCATACAAAAAAATCAATACTGGCAGTTTACTACGCGTCAGGCACTGTGTTATAAGTATGTTTCCTTTATTATCTCCTTTAATCCTCACAACAGTCCTTTGAAATGGGTACTTATCTTTAATTTACAGATGAGAAAACTAAAGCACAGAGCTTAACAATATGCCACAAGGTTATATAGCTAGAATGTGCTGAAATAACACTAGGAAAATAACTAATGTGTTGGTATTTGTCTACATAAAAAACTCCAGAAGTCTCTACATGAGAAACAACTTAATAAAAAGTTGAACAAGTACGCTAGATATGAGATTGAGATACAAAATAAACTAATAGCCTTTCTATGCAGTAGTCTTAACCATTTAGGGAAACAAATTTCTATTCATAAAAAGAATCCTATTCAAAATCACAATTGAAAGAAGGTACCCAAGAGTAAATCTAAAAAAAATATGTAAAATCATCAAAGAGTGGTCAACTCTGCATCAATTAATTAATAACTTTAATGCAACTCCAGTCAACATCCCAAAGGATATTTTGAGAAAGAAAATTTAATCAGTGAATCTTAAAATTTTAAGAACATAGGGCCAAAATAGCCAATACAATTTAACAAAGAAGTAAAAAAAAAAAAATAGGATCTTTGCCCTACTAGAGACAGGCATGCCTTGGTTTTGGGTCTTTTCACTTTATCACACTTTACAGATATTGTATTTTTAACAAATTAAGGTTGCTGACGACTGCGTTGAGCAAGTCTGCCAGTGCCATTTTTTGAACAGCATGTACTCATTTCGCGTCCGTGTGTCACATACTGATGATTCTCACAAAATTTCAAACTTTTCATTATTATCTCCACCACATGATGTGTGATCAGTAACCACTGAGGTTACTACTGTAATTGTTTTGGCGTGCCAGTAACCACATGCATACAGGATAGCATTTAATTGATAAATACTGTGTGTGATCTGACTGCTCCAAGGACTGGCCGTCCGCCATCTCCTTCCCTGTCCTCAGGCTTCCCTATTCTCTGAGACACAACAATATTAAAATTAGGACAATTAATAACCCTACAATGGCCTCTGTGTGTTCAAGGGAAAGGAAGAGTCACACGTTTCTCACTTTAAATCAAAAGCTAGAAATGATTAAGAAATGAGCAAGGCATGTCAAAAGCCAAAACAGGCCCAAAGCTAGGACTCTTGCATCAAACAGCCAAGTTGTGAACGCAAAGGAAAAGTTCTTGCAGGAAATTAAAAGTGCTACTCCACGGAACACAAATGATAAGAAAGCAAAAGAGCCTTATGGTTGACATGGAGAAAATTCTAGTGGTCTGCATAAAAGATCAAACCAGCCACGACATTCCCTTAATCCAAAGCCTAATCCAGAGCAAGGCCCTAACTCTCCACAATTCTATGAAGGGTGAGAGAGGTGAAGAAGCTCCAGAAGTAAAATTTGAACCTAGCAGAAATTGGCTCATGAGGTTTAAGGAAAAAAGCCATTTCCATAACATAAAAATGCAAGTTGAAGCAGCAAGTGCTGCTATAGAAGCTACAGAAAGTTATCCAGAAGATCTACCCGGAATAATTCACAAAGGTGGCTGCACTAAACAACAAAGTTTCAGTATAGATAAAACAGTCTCATTTTAGAAGAAAATACCATCTAGAACTTTCATAGCTAGAGAGAAGAAATCAACTCCTGGCTTCAAAGCTTCAAAGGAAAGGCTGACTCTCTTGATAGGGGTTAATGCAGCTGGTGACATTTAAGTTGAAGCTAATGTGCATTTACCATTCCAAAACTCCTAGGGCCCTCAAGAATTATGCTAAATCTACTCTGCCTGTGCTCTATAAATGGAACAACAAAGCCTGGATGACAGCACATCTGTTTACAGTGTGGTTTGCTAAATATTTTAAGCCCAGTGATGAAAGCTATTGCTCAGAAAAAGAGATTTCTTCCAAAATATTACTGCTTATTGACAATGTACCTAGTCACCCAAAAGCTCTAATGGAGATGTACAAAGAAATTAATGTTGTTTTCATGCCTGCTAATACAACACCCATTCTGCAGCCCGTGGATCAAAGGGTAATTTTCAACTTCCAAGCCTTATAATTTAAGAAATACATTTTGTAAAGGCTATAGCAGCTATGGACAGTGATTCCTTTGATGGATCTGGGCAAAGTAAATTAAAACCTTCTGGAAAGGATTCACCATTCTAGATGCCATTAAGAACATTCATGAGTCAATGGAGGAGGTCAAACTAGCAACATTAACAAGGGTTTAGAAGCTTATTTCAGCTCTCACGGATGATTTGGAGGGCTTCAAGACTTTAGCGGTGGAAGTTACTGCAGATGTGCTGGAAACAGCAAGAAAGTTGGAAGCAGAAGTGAGACTGAATTGCTGTAATCTCATGATAAAACTTAAATGAGGAGCTGCTGCTAATGGATGAACAAAGAAACTGGTTTCTTGAGATGGAATCTACTCCTGGTGAAGATGCTGTGAACACTGCTGAAATGACAACAAAGGATTTAGAACATTCCATAAACTTTGTTGATAAAGCAGTGGCAGAGTTTGATAGTATTGACTCCAACTATGAAAGACATTCCGCTGTGGGTAAAATGCTATCAAAAATCATCACATGCTACAGAGAAATCTTTGTTGAAACAAGGAGTCAATCAGTGCGGTAAACTTCACTGTTGTCTTATTTTAAGAAGCTGCTGCAACTCCTCCAACCTTCTTATCAGTCAATAACCATCAACATCAAGGCAAGACCTTTTACCAGCAAAAATATTACTACTTGCTGAAGACTCAGATGACCATTGGTATTTTTAATATGATTTTTTAAATTAAGGCATGTACATTGTTTTTTAGACATAATGCTCTCACACATTTAATGCACTCTAGTAATAGTATAAACATAACTTTTATATGCACTGGGGAATCAAAAAATTCATGTGACTTATGTTATTGCATTGGTCTGAAACCTAACCTGTGATATCTCCAAGGTATGCCTTTAGCTACAAGCTCTAGTAGATGAGTATCTACAGTATGTCATAGTGTATACAGTATATACATGTTCACACCCACACAATAAACTAGAGTATTTAGAATAACATGCTAGTAATGTGGAGAAGAAAAATAGATCATAGATCACAAAATGGAAAGCAACAAGCATAATGTCTCTTATTTTCTTTCTATTCTACTTGTATTGATACAACAAAGGGGTAGAGTTAAATAATTTCACTGGATTATAAACTTGGATGCATGACATTTATCTCTCTCAACACCCTGGGCTAAGAATGCCCAGAACAGTGCTTTGCGCATAGTAGGCCTCCTAGAAGCATTAAAATTAATTGACTGAAAGAAGCTTACAGTATTTCCACCTGTGTCTACTTATTGCTTGGAATCAAGTCCATCAGGTTTCAAAAGTCCACAGAAAGGCTGGCCCTGGAGCCATGAAAAATGCTATTAGATTATTTCATTGTGATGAGGACCTCGAGGCCACTACATGCACTTTCCCCTAACACGGTCATTTATATTGATTTTCCAGATTCGTTTTTGAGTAATGCTACTTTTTGCTAGCATTTTGTATCTGATTTGCTTTTGTGAAACTATTATGCAATAAATATTTGTTGAATACATATATGCAAAATGAAACAAACACATATAACTGTTTTTAAAAGACTGAAAAATATACCACTTGCATGCTATTTCATGCTTATAGCTAAACATAGAAAAAACTAGAAATAGTTTAACTTATTAAAAATATATAAAGTGAAAAGAAAAGCTCAAACCTTTCAACTACTTCTATGTCAAAGCAGAATCGTTTGTCAATTGAATCTGTCTTTCGTCGGATACAAGATTTTAATTTAAACATTTCTGGTGAGCTAGTAACAAGGCCATTCTGAAACAAAAAGAGTACTCCATTATTAGCATGCTGACAAGCTGAATGAAATATATTCGATACATGATCTACAGGTGCTGCAATAAAAATGAGTATAGGTTATGTACAAAGGTCATCATCATACTTTGTACTTTTTTTTATTCCTAAAATTAGCTGCCCAATTATAACATAGCAAACCATTGATTAATTCATGGCATATACATATATATATATATATTTTATTTCAAAGAATCCTGTGACATCCTTGTCTAGTACCTTCCAACATATCTACTTATAATATTAAATTATACTATAATGCACACTCCCTTAGGACAGCAACATTGGTGCTCTTAATCAAAATTCCCTAGATTGCTAAGAGATTAGTATCATGTGTGTATCTTCGTATTAGAGGCTTACAGTATTAAATGATAGCTAGCTCTAAGAGAGCTACCAAAATAATGAAGTTCCAGCATATACATACCACAGTGCTATTGCTATCATACATACCATATGATTGCTTTGCTGGTACCCAACTGCTACTCTGGTACTATAACTAAAATTCTTTGTACAGGATCCAACATAGGTCAAATTCACAGGAATTTTCTTCTATAAGCAAGATGCCAATCTATTTTAATGGGAAAGCTTACCCAATGTCTGGCAAATTCTACCTTCAGTTGCAAATGTCATAGATTTATTAATAGAACTTTGGCTTGGTCTATTTACATTATTATTACATAAGCTGAATTTCTGGTAATATCTATTAAAGAAAGTAGTAAACTAGGTGTGATTGTGGCACTTAATAACTTCCCATGATGGCAGCAATCTAAGGTTTCTTTTTCTCTGGTATGTTCTCCTTTATTTTATGTCTTTCAGTTTGAATTATTAGACTCTGATGAATGCCCAAGCACAATAAGTTTCAGCTGATGTATTTGAGTATGTGTCTAAGTTAGGATCAACATCTACCTCTGCCATGATCTATACCACAAATTAGCTGGGTGAGGCACTTACTTTCTACAAACCTTATTTCCTAATCTGTTAAAATAGGGCTGAATTAAATTATCTTCAGGATAACTCCCCACTCTAGGATTCTTAGACCATGGCCTAATTATCTAATTCACAAGTTCAATCATTTGCCATATTTATATCTTAAGTCACAAAAAGATTATACACCACATGCAATAAAGCTCTCTGCATTTTCTCAAATAAAGTACACTGTGTTCTATTGTTCACTAATCATGAGGGACATTCAGTGACCAATTTACTTTTGGGGTAAATGAGCACTGATTGGCTTCTTCTGAGAAACCTTGTTAGCCAGGATTTTGGTAAACAGCGCACAGTGCAGGAGAGGGAAAGGCATACAGGGAAGAACGAAGCCTCCCACAGAGGCCACCTGGGGAGAAGATACAGAATCCTTGAGCCTGGTCCAGCCACTGACAGTCTCTTCCTGGGCTGCTAGCCAACCGACAGCACAAGTAACTCTCCTGCCAGGGATGTGAGATGACACTGCAGTAATCTATTGGAGGACCCTATATTTAACTCAACTGCTCATAAACATTTCATGGCCAAGTTAAAGGAAAACCCTGGCCACTCTTTTTAAGTCATCACAATGAAAGAACACATGTTGATTTTTTAATTTTCAAAAATGTATACATGTTACTAGAAGAGCAAGCACATGCGATTTTTTTGCTTTAATTCCATTACTTAAATAACAAGCTTAGTTTTAAAGGAAAAAAAAAAACTAACTCACCATTTTCCCACTGGATTTCATTTCCGAAACACTCATTGTAAATGTTTTACTTCCCTTATC